TGAATTTAGAAGATGAATTTGCCAATAGCATCTTCTGGAAGTGTTCTTTGAGTTATCTGATCTGATTAGACAGAATAGCATCTTCTGGAAGTGTTCTTTGAGTTATCTGATCTGATTAGACAGAATAGCATCTTCTGGAAGTGTTCTTTGAGTTATCTGATCTGGTTTGGCAGAACCAATCATTGAATTTAGAAGATGAATTTGCCAATAGCATCTTCTGGAAGTGTTCTTTGAGTTATCTGATCTGATTAGACAGAATAGCATCTTCTGGAAGTGTTCTTTGAGTTATCTGATCTGATTAGACAGAATAGCATCTTCTGGAAGTGTTCTTTGAGTTATCTGATCTGGTTTGGCAGAACCAATCATTGAATTTAGAAGATGAATTTGCCAATAGCATCTTCTGGAAGTGTTCTTTGAGTTATCTGATCTGATTAGACAGAATAGCATCTTCTGGAAGTGTTCTTTGAGTTATCTGATCTGATTAGACAGAATAGCATCTTCTGGAAGTGTTCTTTGAGTTATCTGATCTGGTTTGGCAGAACCAATCATTGAATTTAGAAGATGAATTTGCCAATAGCATCTTCTGGAAGTGTTCTTTGAGTTATCTGATCTAATTAGACAGAATAGCATCTTCTGGAAGTGTTCTTTGAGTTATCTGATCTGATTAGACAGAATAGCATCTTCTGGAAGTGTTCTTTGAGTTATCTGATCTGGTTTGGCAGAACCAATCATTGAATTTAGAAGATGAATTTGCCAATAGCATCTTCTGGAAGTGTTCTTTGAGTTATCTGATCTGATTAGACAGAATAGCATCTTCTGGAAGTGTTCTTTGAGTTATCTGATCTGATTAGACAGAATAGCATCTCTGGAAGTGTTCTTTGAGTTATCTGATCTGGTTTGGCAGAACCAATCATTGAATTTAGAAGATGAATTTGCCAATAGCATCTTCTGGAAGTGTTCTTTGAGTTATCTGATCTGATTAGACAGAATAGCATCTTCTGGAAGTGTTCTTTGAGTTATCTGATCTGGTTTGGCAGAACCAATCATTGAATTTAAAAGATGAATTTGCCAATAGCATCTTCTGAAAGTGTTCTTTGAGTTATCTGATCTGATTAGACAGAATAGCATCTTCTGGAAGTGTTCTTTGAGTTATCTGATCTGGTTTGGCAGAACCAATCATTGAATTTAGAAGATGAATTTGTTAATAGCATCTTCTGGAAGTGTTCTTTGAGTTATCTGATCTGGTTTGGTAAGAACTACAGAACCAATCATTAGAATTAAAAGATGAACTGCATGATCGTCTTCATTAAGAAGTTTCTTTTCAAGCTTCTTTTGCTTATTCCTTTCCCAAAAATCATAGCACGAGTTTCGCCTTTGCTTGTAACTGGGATTATCACATGATGGCTTCCCACCTTTTACCGGAAGAAAGCTATTTGAAGTTTCAACTTCTGAGAATCACATTTTTGTCAAGAATAACACTTCATCAGAATCAGAATTCAGGATTTCTCGGTATTAGAAGAACTATTGATATCTGTGAAATCATCCTGAAAGGTTACTTCATAATCAGATGAGTTGTTATCAGAATCAACATGTTGTCTGAATGCAAGTTTTTCAAGAGCCTATACTATTGAGTTTTATTCTCAAGAGGTTTTGTGACATTATATCTACATCTACATTTGTCAAAGATGATAGATTCTCTGATTCTAAGAAGAAAGATCTATTGGGTTTTTACAATTGAAGAAATACTCAATTCACCAATCTGAAATCAAACAACTTAACATTCATGCATCATATTTAGATATTTGCAAAAATAGATGCATTTTCATTCTTTTTTATTCTTGTTGAAATTTTAACAGGAATTTCAAAGATTTTAGCAAAGATGAATCCATCATTTGGGTGGATCATCTTTTCCAGAGAAAGTTCATAATGAGAAGAACTCATCTGAAGAAGGAAGAAGAAGTTCATAATGAGAAGAATTTGTTCAACCTTTTACCTGAATCCATCATTTGGTGGATCATCTTTTCCAGAGAAAGTTCATAATGAGAAGAACTCATCTGAAGAAGGAAGAAGAAGTTCATAATGAGAAGAATTTGTTCAACCTTTTACCTGAATCCATCATTTGGTGGATCATCTTTTCCAGAGAAAGTTCATAATGAGAAGAACTCATCTGAAGAAGGAAGAAGAAGTTCATAATGAGAAGAATTTGTTCAACCTTTTACCTGAATCCATCATTTGGTGGATCATCTTTTCCAGAGAAAGTTCATAATGAGAAGAACTCATCTGAAGAAGGAAGAAGAAGTTCATAATGAGAAGAATTTGTTCAACCTTTTACCTGAATCCATCATTTGGTGGATCATTTTTTCCAGAGAAAGTTCATAATGAGAAGAACTCATCTGAAGAAGGAAGAAGAAGTTCATAATGAGAAGATTTTGTTCAACCTTTTACCTGAATCCATCATTTGGTGGATCATCTTTTCCAGAGAAAGTTCATAATGAGAAGAACTCATCTGAAGAAGGAAGAAGAAGTTCATAATGAGAAGAATTTGTTCAACCTTTTGCTTGAATTCATCATTTGATGGATCAACATTGCCAGGTAAAGTTCATAATGAGAAGAACTCATCTGAAGAAGGAAGAGAAAGTTCATAATGAGAAGAACTCATCAAGAGCTTATTCAACCTTTTGAATGACTCTATCACAAAAAGGAGGTCATCATCAACCCCAGCAGAAAGTTCATAATAAGAAGAACTTATTTGGAGAAAAAGAAGAATTTATTCAATATCTCCATAATGATCAAAGTAAAGTCAAATGGATAAAAAATTTTATTATCTTTTTATCTTTGCCCTATTCTTGTTAACACAAGAATGAGCAAAGAGGGGCAGCTGAAGATATTAAATTTTTTATCCATATTATTATTATTATTAATATTATTATTATTATTATTATTATTATTATTATTATTATTATCATTATTATTATTATTATTAATTTATATTAAATATATTAAATACATAATAATATTTACAGGCCCAATTACAACTGGACCGGTCCAGTTACAAACCAACTGAAACCGGTCCAAAACTAACTAGAAACCCTAAATGTTTAGGTTTCCAGTTAGGGTTTCCTAACCCTAATTAATCAGCCGCCTCATCACAGCCGTTGGATCTGGCACGATCCAACGGTCCACATGGCTCCAGAGAGGAACCCTAGGGTTTGATACCCTAGGGCCACGCGGCGCCGCTCCAGCTTCCACGCGGCTACCGACAGCCCTCGCCGCCTCCGCCGCTGCCACGCCTCCATCGAAGCCTTCAGAAGACCCAGATGGCCACCCACGTTGCTACCCTAGCAGTGAGTCACCACTGGTAGTCCGGTGACTCACCGAAGGGTAGTCTATTACCCGGTCCGATGACCGCACCGGTGGTGGCTATAAAAGCCACCACCCACCTGAAAAAAAAAGAAGGGAGAGACAGAGACAGAAACAGAACCGAAAAAAAAAAACAGAGAAAAGGAAAAAAACAAACTATACCAACGATCTCAGCAGCAAAGAACCAGAAGAAAAAAGAAAGAAAAAGGAAGAAGAGACTTACCGAGGAAGCGTCGACCACCGGATCTCGTCAGAACCTTCGAAACATCGAAGGTATTATTTTAGATTTGCTCCGATTTGGAGCAGTTTAACGGAAAAAAGTATCGGGACCGTCATTAGGACGGTCCGATCTACATTTAGGTGTAAAAAAAATTTTTTCCGACCACCGAAGACGGTGGCCGGCGGCGGTGGCTGGCGGCAGAACTCACGGCGGCAGACGGCCGCCGGACTCCCTCCGGTGAGGGAATCTAGAGAGAGGCCAGAGAGAATTCTGGCTCTCTCTCTCTCTCTCGGTTTAAGAAAGAAGAAAAAAAAAGAAAATGAAATGGCTGGCCCGAAGGGCCAGCCGGTTTGGGACTTATATAGTCCTTCCCGAACGACGTCGTTTCGGGAAGGACTATGCGCGTAATTACAAAATAGTTAAATCCCTTCCGCAGCCCTTCATATTTGTAAACTTTACATTTTGGTCACTAAACTGAATTTATAAGAATTTTAATTCGGTCTTTGAATTTTAATTTTATTCATTTTAGTCTTTTTAATTAAAATAATATATTTAGGATAAATGACAGATTTAATCCCTTAATTTTAATAAATAAAGTTTTCATCCCTAGTTCATATTTTTAATTAATTTTATTATAAAATTTGAATTTTAAATAAATTCATTTTAGTCACTAAGTTATTAAAATTAGAAAATAAAATATTTAATCCCTATAATTTCAATTAATTAGGAATTAGATTTAATTTTATTTTATTCATAATTTAGTTATTTATTTTACATGTTTTCATTTTATTGCTTAAAATATATTATTTTAGTGATATTTTTATTTTATTATACTGTTAAATATTTTTATATATACACATAATAAATAGTATTTTTTAAATATTTATTTTTAATATCGAAGAAAAGGACAGTCTTAATACAACTGGATGTCCTATTCTGATAAACAATATTATTTAAATTAATATTTATCAATATCAAAGAAAAGAGCTGTCTTAAGGCACCTAGAAGTTCTTTTCGGATATTTTTAAATAAATAAATTTTTTATATATAATTTTGAAATAATAGAATTATAAATTAAATATATTTCTGAATTTTAAATTTTAATAATAGAGACAATTTATAATTAAAAAGTACCAATTTTGGGCGTTGTAGGGGTGCTAATCCTTCCCTAAACGTAACCGACCACGAATCCCTTTTTATTATTAAAAAGAACGCATTTTTGGTTATAAAACGCAGATCAGTTCATCTTTTAAATATGGTTTTCTTAAAAACTATTTTAAAAGAAAATTTTTAGGTATTCGACCTACCTGATTCAAAAGGTCGATGGCGACTCACAAATTATTTTCAAAATTATTTATTAACATCAATTTCCCCGCCAAATTATAATATTTCGTGCCCGGACGAAAACCGGTTACGACACCTAGTAAGAATTTACCTGCTTGTTTCCTATATTGCGACGCCAAGAAAGACGGACAGTCTGCTTGCCTATGGTTGTCCCGTTCAAACTTTGGATTGCTTCCTCAGCATTCTTCCTACAAAGCATACACATTACATTACTATAGGCACCATGAGTAGATAATAAATTAATAATGTACTGTCAGAAACCTATCATCTGCATCGCTTAAATTAAAGATGTGCATAATACTTTGATGATATTATCACTAGTGGAGCTCTAAACAAGAAGCTTGAACAATAGTTACCTCACTTAGACAAATGAAGTAAAATGTGGTGAAGTTGAGTACATATAGAGAGGCACCTGTTCACAAATTGCACAAACCCACATCCTTTTCCAGGTGGCATTTTGACAGAGATGATCTCACCAAACTGGGAAAAAGGTTGTCTCAGATCATCATCAGTTACGTCAGAGTCAAGTCCTCCAACGAATATCTGCAAGAAACATAACTTTGTGATCAATGGTAGATATAGGGGAGAAGATAGCAACGGAGGAGGGAAAATGACTCACAGTAGCATTATTTGAATCATTAACGTATTGAGAACCTTGTGCTACAGCACCATTTGCTGCATGTCCACCAGCCAATACCACAGCTAACCAAATAAGAAACGAAAATATAATGATTCAATTAAAACTCACATCAAGCTTTATGATACAGATATAATACATTCAACATGATAGAAGTATTAAGGAACATCGTGGGAACTCCATGCTCAAGAAAAAAAAATACAAGATGATGAACATTTGAAACACTATACTCCGCCATATCAAACAAGCCTGAGATGAAGACTTTATTCTTTGAAAGAAATAAAAAGGAAAAACCACAATTCGACTCCACTTAAGTTCCGGTTTTCACCATTGAATAGATCAGGATGTTGCTCCAAGGTTGAAGAGAGGAAGATTTACATCAAAGGCCACCCAAATATCAATCACCCTTGTGACAGAAATCATACCTTGTGAAGAATACTGTTGCTGATATCCAGATGCTTTCTTGGGAGTAGCAACACCGATCCTCATAGGTCTACTTGAGCAATATACACCATTCATTTCCGTCATAGCCCTTGACCTTTCATTTTCATCACCAAATCTAACAAAACCGTAACCTTTTGAACGACCTGTATTTGAATCAATAACAACTTTTGCTCCCTTGACAGATTGAAATCTACTAGAAAAGGTTTCATGCAATATTGTATCAGTTACATCTGCAGCCAAATCCCCTACAAAAATAGACAGCTCCGAACCCATTTCAGGTCGCCTTTCATTCACACTGAATGAAGCCCAATTGAGACGAAAAGGCTGCTCTGTGTTTGGCATTAAAGAACCATTATAGCTTTGCAAAACTTTTTCTGCTGCTGTCCGAGAGTAAAATTCCACGAAACCATATCCTTCAGACTGACTGGTTTGCTTATTGCGTATAATCTTTACACAAGAAACCTGTATTCGAAATGCCAAATGTCAGAAACAAGGTTCTTTTACTTACAAGAGCCTGTCTGATTGAAAAAACAAGTAAAATGTTCAAAAACGTATTGGTTACACATCAACGTACGATACACAGTAAGCAGCTAATCTTCAAAAGAAATAAAAACAATACAATATTACGAATACAGTTTTCATAGATTTCAAGATTCCAAATAATAGTAAAACAAACACACTCATGTTAGCATCTCCTCATTGCTTTTCTGTTGTTAAACTTTCCAATTAATACAAGCAAAGAAATGAAGAGTGCTTTCTACAAGATCATGGTATGTGAGAGCTATTCTCATAAATAAATAGTTCCAGAATGAGTTAACCACTTCCTTCAAATGCTGTCCGTAATTTTAAACTACCACATAACCATCTTGGCAAACTTTGCATCCAAATCAAGAGGGCTCTATTTCCAGTGCTTATGAACAAGTTATCAAACTTAAATATCTTATATTAATAAGTCCATGTAGCAAGACAAAATACAAAAAAAGTCGATTTTCAAATGGCCAATCTCCAAATCCCCACCCCAAATTAACATCCAGCATGAAAAGACATTACAACTATTCCGATGATCAATTAACAGGTTTTTACATGAACCCAGATATAGAAAGAAAGCTTAAAGAAGCATTATACAGTCAAAAGGCAACAAGGAAATAGGTAAAGAATAGTAAAAGGTAGAAGTGTTTCTAGTATTCAAACAGAGAGCTTTTTTACTATGTTAAATTACAATACCAATAATTCTTAAAAGCTTAAAATTATAAGAAAGGGTCCAACTATTCCATTAAAGTTCTAACAGTAAGTACATGAGGCCCTGCTATTGCTTCAGGTTTTGAAACAGATTGTGGATTTTGCTTCAGGACGCAGCGTCTATTGATCTGTTTAGCTTGAATTGAAAACACTATTTGTCTATAAGTAAACCACAAACTTATAATTTCTTGTATCTTCTATAGGAATTAAACCATAAATTGTCGACAATAACCTTTAATGATCAATATGGCGCATTGTCCTCTATCCTAACATTGATAAGATCGACTTAATTATAGGAAACAAGCTCTGAACAGCAACCCATTTCATAAATACTCTTTAACCAATCAATGAATTACCACTTTCTCTAATCTAGCATAAACCTCGAACCTTAATTACACTTAAACCCCATAACACAAACAAAACCCCAGGAAGAAAGAGCAACGACACGATTTATTAAACCACCAAAAAGATCTAATAATGAGATTCACATATAACAAGACATACATCTATGATTTAATGATATATGTAACTGCAATCATTTTTAGTTTTACCTCTCCAGTTTGAGAAAAGCAACTATGAAGATAAGTTTCATCCATCCAATGAGCAAGGTCGCCAACCCAGATCGTTTTGACCTCATCCGAGTTAGACACTTGCTGTTTCTGCGAGTAGCTTTGCTGCTGGTACGGGTGTTTACCTTGCTGCTGCTGCTGTTGATATTGTTGGTACTGGAACTGAGGATTGTTGTAAGCCATGTAATGGTGAGGGTACATCATCATCTGTTGCTGCATCATTACCATCGCAGCCGCTGTCGGGTACTGCATGGCTCCCATCCACTGTCCCGCCACCCACTGCGGCCGTTGCTGCGGCGGCGGCTGCTTCTGTGGTTGTTGTTCTTGTTCTTGTTTCGAGTTGACATCATTACCGCCAGTGGACTGCATCTTGATGTATAGATAGATGAGAAGATCAGATCTAACACTTTGGGTTTTCTTATTTTTCTCTCTCTTTCACCGTTGAGAGGCGAAGGATAGAAGGAAAAACAAGCGGAAAGATAGAAACTATTGTCTCAAGAAACGTAAGTTTATAAAGGGAGCCGTGGATCTGAGTTCGTGGGGTGAAACAACTCGGCTATAACGTTGGTTGTTGCTTGCGTTTTCTTTCTTTTTTGGTTAAATTTTGATTTTGGTCCTCGTAGAATGATTGATATATGTATCTTACTTTTATAATGTCTTTTTCATAATGCCATTAGCTAGATGGAATAGTAACCAAGTGTTGCCCATTTCAACAAAATATTAATGCAATTTTTTAAAAGAAAATATTTCGACATAAAACAAATTATGTCAATAGCATTTAAAAAAAATCAACTTTTTAAAAGAAAATATTCCGACATAAAACAAATTATGTCAATAAGGCATTTAAAAAAAAATCAACATTATCATCATAATATTAGTATCATCCATAAATTACTTAGTTTTTTTAATAGTTTAGAGTGATCGTAAGGTAAAATATGTTTAAAATATTTTTTAATTATTGACAATACACACACATGCTACACATACAGTTGCTCAAACTTAGAATTTTTAGAGAGAATAACATTTTTTTAACTACTAAAGTCACAGAATAAATTCATAAAATATTTAATTAATTAAATTAAATTAATAATATTATAAAAATAGAGCTCAAATAATATCAAATTAAAATATAAACCATTAAGTATTAATTGATTGAATTGAACTGAACTGACTAATAAGAGATCAAATAATATTAAATTAAAATAAAACAAGTGGAGCAAAACAATAATTGGAGCCGGTGTCAAGCCGTCCTAATAGATCTGTTATACTTTTTATTTACTTATAATAAAAAAAGTAATGATGAGTTTAAGTAACAGAATTTAGAGAGGGATGAATGCACCACTTGCAATTATATAATCAAACTTAATAATTTTCAATAAAGCAATGAAACAAAGTCAGGTTCGGAGTAATGGGCATGGATTTGTTAATTTCTTTATGTTCTAATTCATATATAGTTTGTTAACCTTAGTTTGACCATTATTGGAGCAACCAATCCCTTTTAAAGTAGTTGAGCATATTATAATCATAATTTACCGACGTAAATATTTTAGTGAAAATGGCGTCTGGAAATTGTAAAGGTTTGGTGGTCAAAAAGGAGAGATGTGGTGTGCTAAAAATAAAGTGTGGCTTTTGCCCAATCCCCCAAGAGGCTGAAAATTGAATGTCAGGGCGTTTATTACGTGTTTCCAAATTCTTATTTGTTTACCAAATCCATAATGGATAATACTCTAAACAAATAACAGATAGCATTATCAACATATACATTGCAAGAATAAAGGCACTTTTTTTCCCCTTTGATTGAAAACATACAGCAGAGTTGATGTGTTGAGAGGGCAAAGAATGAATAGAATAGTCCGTGTGAAGCAAAGTTGAAACAATATGGCCAAAATTCCAAGAACCCCCCTGTTGGCTCCTGTCATTTCGAGATTGAAACCGAAAAAGAGAGGGAAAAAAGGGTCAAGAATAGAATGTACATCATGCTGATGTTTTACCTCCTGTAATCTCCATATAGGTAACTTTCGTAATGTGTTCCGTTGAGTGCTTTCTCTACATCGTTCCAGTTCTGGATGTGATTCGATAACGATCCCTTGTGTATCTTTACCTGTCGACTCCTTAACTCCATCTTTGGAACCTTTAGGAATTCTTGAACCTCATCTAATTTCTACACAAGTGACAGAAAATGATTCGCTTAATAACCCTGGATTGGATCAATATTCACCAAGAAAAATATCTCAACTTTTTTTCTGGTATTTGTTTTCTTACAGTGCGGTTCTTAACTACATCCTCGTAGTAAAGTATGATATGCCGGATGCTTTTGAAGTACTCCAAAGCTTTTTTAGTTGTCTCTTCAACCTGCCTTATATTTGGGATGAGCAATGTTGCATTGATTACAGGCTTGTAACTAGCAAGTATCTCAGCCTGAAAATCATTATGTAAGAGTTTTAGTTAGGCGCGTGAGAGTGACAGAGAAAGACAAACAGGGGGATGAAAACCTCATGTGGCGAATGAACATGAGACTTGTGGGTTCCATTCAGTAGCTTAGCATCCCGATCATAAGAATTTGCTAGTATTGAAATCATCCTCCGCAAAAGATTCCTTCGAAAGAGAAAAATAGCAGAAACACCCCGAGTATTAAAGTATTCCACTATTTGTTTATGGTGCTGCATCAGTCCCTGCAGTAAAGGATTATGACCATGAACACATTAGAGACGAGCATAATCACAAATTTAAATTATGAATTCAATACCAAGAACAACGTCTGTTCATAAAATACCATCTTTATATTGTTCTTAACACAACGAAAACTGTTTCATTAATGAATATTTTCATCAGTGCAATTGTTCTCAAGTCATGAAGAAGTTGCTATTTCAAAGGCTCAAAAAAGAAATACGACTTTACTAAGAACATTGAATACATTTTCTCGGGTCCCCAGCACATCGAATAAGGGGGATAATCTCCTTTTGATACACATTTTCTCAACTTCCCAGCAGGCCAGCACGGATTTCAATTATCTGACTCCTTCAGAATTGCATAACCTGCCATCTCTTCTTTCCTGTGTTAAATTGTATAGAAACTTTCTCCTGTTTTCCTTACATGATTTTGCTAATGTCTCCATCGCATTCATTCAAGGTTACCAAATTTTATAGTTGCTCCCCATCAATATAATGATGAATATTTACCAACAATTGTGCTTCTCATTAGAAAATGAATAAAACCAAAAAGTACGAAGAACTTATGCAACAGCTATTCCCTCTTTAACGAGGCACTTAAGAATTATTCCCTAAATTATTCTCAGATGTGAAATACTATATGGTATCTGATAATTATAATGCAAGAACACCGCACCATGCTGCCCAAGTAAAAAGGTGTGTCTAGATGCAAATAAGGCTCCAATTAGTGGTAGTTATACAGAAAGCCATTGGCTGGATTAAGAATATATATGAATGGTGGTATTTTGGAATAATAACAAAACGAATAGGATGAATGTCTTTTTTTTTTCTTTTCTTTTTTTGGTAAAACAAGCTAGGATGGTCATACTTTTGGGGAGCAACAGGGACTGTGTTTCTAATTGCAGGGCAAACACAACTGAATGCTAAGAGAATTGCAAAAAACTAGAGCTAGAAACAAAGATTGTGGATAAATTCGAATAAGAAAAAAGAAAATGAAACACAGAAAGAGATGACCAATTCAAGACAATGCTCTAGAAACTATTGAGTTCAAAAAGTTGCAGTCACTCGAAGACTAATACTATAAGCACAGGTGTAACTATAACTATAAAGGATGTTTTGGGTGTCTTCTGCTTCATGCTTAATACACTGATTGTAGAGTTTGCTTCAACCCACTATATTAGCCATTCCTAATATGAATCTAATTGTTATAAATACATCTTCGGATAACCAATACAGTAAACCATTTTTTAGTTTAAAAGGTTAATTCCTGTTCAAAAACCATTGAGGTAAAGAATGTAAAGATATTTCAATAAGGCCACAGATTTCTGCTATAACAATGTTAGCAAATTGCGACTGAACTTTAGAAGCTAAGTTTCAGCCATGAAAAGCACACCTGATTAAGCATCCACTTCAAGCCAACTGCAGCTGTGCACTCATTTTTCGAGGCACTGCTCAACCAGTCCAAGTTATAAACTCTGTCCAAAGTCTCAAATATTGTCGACACATTAGTCCTCCTAACTTTGACCGAGAATATCTCCCCATTCGAGCTTATGTTAGTATGATTGTTTAATAACGTTTCAAACCATCCACTCCCAGATCTCTGCATAGACATAATGGCAAAATATCGGACAGGATTGCACGCACACTCAGCCCTAATCACACACAAGAAAGCCCATTATTAAGTCGTATAACAAAAAAACAAAAAAAAAACAAATCTCAGGAGCAATAAAATCAGCTTCAAACCTGCTAAAAGTTTTGGGGTTCGGATGGTGCACGTAAGGAATTTCCCACGGCTCGATATTAGGTTCTGGACACGGCTTTTGGATCACTCCAATGTTCAAAAACTCAGACGTCCTGCTGGTGCTAATTTGCTTCAAACAAATTGAGCATATATACACACCACAAACCATTACAAACAACAATACAACCATCCTCAACACCAACGGAGACTTCTTTGGCAACTTTAGGATGAAAGAATCCTGAAATTTAACGAATTACCCGGTAATTAAAAAACCAAAGAAAACTTATCATTTCCTCACTGATGATAATCCATTCAATGAGGCTCTTGGAAAGATACGGTATTGGTATTGCCATTGCTGTAGCATTAAACCCTGATCTAATTTAGCTAGAAAATCTCAGCTGTGTGCTGAACAAGACATTAGTTTCACTAGTTTAATCAAAGTTGAACATTAATTAATTGATTAATCACGTTTCACGTGAGAGGAGAAAAAAACATCAACATCGAAACTACAAGGATAGAACACACATCTTTCATGAAAATGAAATCTGGGTGTTGCTTGTATCTTAAAGAAGCGATAAAAGGGAAACAAACCCCCTTAAAATCATGCGTGTTTTAATACAAAAAAGAATTATCGTTGTACAGAAAACCAAATAAAGTATATTTCACATGACACTAAATATATAGAAAAGAATTAATAAAAGAATCTTCAATATCACTCTATATGACGACAACGTAAGCAGCTAAACATACCCAAATGGAGAAAAAAAGACACTAACCTTGCTGAAGAAGAAACACAGATCGTCGGCCATGGCTCTAAACCTCAAAAAGTAAAGCAATCAAAAGGGGCATTGGCAACTATTTCTTCTATGTGTTTTTCTCTTTCCTTTCACCCCAAACCCTCATAAATATAGGCTGATTCTGGTGAAGAACAAAATGATTAGGCTTCGTTTCTTCCTCCGATAGACTTTGCCGTTGATGGAGCAGACGCCCGTTCCTCTGTTTTTATAATATTTTTTAATGATTAAAATGTATTTATATTGTAAAAATAATTGTGTTGGTGCCTGCCTGCATTTGCGTCGAAGAATTGCCTTTTTTTATATATATATTTATTCTTATTCTGGTATGAATAATTCATAAAAGTTAGATTTAGATTGAATTATTCAGGAAAAAAAAGAATGTAATAAAGAAGTATTCCAAAGTATTCTTTTAAAAGATTTGACTAAATAATTAGTTGTGCTATTATGTAAGGTAATGTAGCAGATGAATTTAATGAGCCTAAAAAAGGAATTTCTGAACCAAACCCAACATTCCTTGGGCCTGTTTGCAACAACTGTTGTTGGGCCATAATGACGTCCATTGACATTTCTAATGTCCATTCTTGAGAGTTTTTGGATTGAATGAATTATTATTATTATTATTATTATTAGACTTAATTGTATCAGAAGCCCTTGAATTTTTCTTAAAGATTCATGTGATTTTTTAAAAAAAATCACACAATGTAACTATTAAAGTAAGAAAAAAAAATCAAATTTGACTCTTTGACTAAATCAAACGTTGATTGTTATGATGTTAATATGACAGTACATATTGTTGACGTGATGATCCATGATGCTAACATTGACTATCCACGATGAATAATGACGTAAGACATGATTTAAATTAGTTTTTTTATCGAGTTCGATGGTCAAATTGATTTTTTATTTCAAGAGCTTATTTAATTTTTTTAGGAAAAAATATTTTAAATTTTAAAAAATAAAAGTATTTAAAAAAATTAAAAATATATATTAAAATAAAAATTAAATTACTAAAAATAAAAATAAAACAAACCTATAAAACATTATTAAAAATAAAAAATAAAAAAATTATTAATTATTAAAATTTAAAAATTATAAAATATCGTGATACAAATGGCTAAAAATGATTCTCTTTCTGATTTATGGTACTAAGAAATAACTTCAGTCACCCTTAATCTATAAATACATACTCATAATCAACACTTCATCTCCCATGAACTTCAAGCAATCTTCTACATTGTTGATCACAATGATGGAGAAATTATTATATGGGTTCGGTTAATCAAGTCATCTGTGGTTCCAACTAATAAGGTCTATCAATCTTAAAATAACTTTTAAGTAACTATCTACTCTTTATTTGCATGTAGAAAAGAAGTGAAGATTCACCTTAAGAAATGAGATTTATGGATTTTATTGGTTGAGACCACATATGACATAATGAGTCAGTGTCACACCCTAATTTAGGGCCTAAAATTTTCTTAAAATTAATTTTGGGGATTAAATTGAAATTTTAACTAAATTCATGGACCAAAGTGAAATTTTAACTAAATTCATGGACTAAAGTAAAAATTTGATTAAATTTGGATCCAAGTTCAAAAGGTAACTAAAACTAAAGGACCTCTTATGCAATTAAACCATTTCCCCCTAAATGTGGGTTCAAAAGCCCTAAAACCAGAACTTTCCATTTCTGGAAAGTTTAAACCTTTCATATCTTTTTCTTCAACTTTTTATCTTTCAGTAGGAAATCTTTAATCGACGTTTCGTCGTCGATCATTGTTTCGTTTTTTACACCTCCCATATTATAATGTTCTTTACGTCGCCCCGAATCGATCGATGTCTGCCTTGTTTCCGTTGCTGCCGGCTTGTGTAGGGGTGAGGATGAACAAGTTTTCAACGTTGTGAAATCGAGCTCTCTGGCGTTCACCGTTGTGAACTGAGCTTGGTAAGTGTCTTAAACTCCTTAAATCAAACATAGGAGTTTTTTGGATTTTTTTCGACCCCCAAAGGCCCCACACGCACCCTATACGCCACCCTTGCACGTGGGGAAGGTCTACCGCCTAGTGGGCTTCTAGAAGCTGATCCGATCTACCTGCCTGATCCGACCAGCCAATCGTTGACTTTTTCCGAAAAGCTTCATCCAAATGTTTTTCGACGTCTTGAGTTGCTTGTCCGTTTTACCAAATTCTGACTCGAAAGTCTTGAATCAAGCCTGTTAATCCAAAAATGCTTAGTATTTTTAGCAGACTTGGTATCAGAAGGAGTGGCTACTCTTCATTTTTGTATCATTTTATAACTCTATATGTCATTTTGTTATACTTTGGTGACACGTATTTTTTCTATTGTTTTGATATATTTGTATTTTTGTTCTATATATGTTTTATACGGCTTTTCCGATATATGTATACATATGTTTATCATATGAATCTCACTGATGATAATTTCATATTATATTGATATATGTATTTCAACGCTATTTTAAATATGAAAAGAACTTCTGAATACAAGATATGTGACTGCCTAGATTTGATCATAATGTCCAGGTTGGGTTTAGGGGTTATAGTCGGATCCATCTAATAGTTTTCCCTGACAATGGAATATATCGGAAAAAATTGTGTTATATATTGAGGAAACAAAAAAAGATCATTTACAAAGAAAATTAACATTTAATTTATTATTATTCAAAGATTTAACTGCACACACGAATCAAGTGATTTTAGTGATTAAAGAACTATTGTTATTCCTTGAAATCTCATGTTCGAGCACCATGTATATCATATGTATAAACATTCAATATCAAATGATATGTACATGGTTCTAACTTGAAACTGATATCTATAACACATGTAATATAATTAGTCACTTAATTTTGTATCATACTTTATAATAGAATTATAAATTACACATATATGCTCACAATCAGGGATTTTAATCCAACAATCTTCCACTTGGACAACATATATTTACATGATAAATGTATAACCTTGTGAACTCAAAAATTTTCTATCATATAATATATATATTCTATAACAATCTCGTCCATAAACTATATTCATATAAGATCAAAGTAACATTTTTCATATTAATCATGATTAGATTCATCATTAGTCACACATACAATTATAATCAAATGACAGATCAATCATGGATGCATATCATAGAAATTATATGCAATGTGAACCAAACATATTTATGTCTAATTGTTTCTCTTTAAACTTAAGTGAGATTGGTATCAAAATAACAAAAGAGTAAATAAATTAAATACTTCATTTCTGATAAAAAAATATATATAAATTTCTAAAAACAAATAAATTACAAACTCTCAATTAAATGATGATGTCCTCAAATCATATAACATTTATATGAGCAATGTGTTTATGAAAGACTTTAGGTAGTAAACCTTTTGTGCGTAGATCCTTTATCATGGAATTTGTTCTAGTGTGTTCTATGGATAGTTTTTTCATTTCATACTCTCTTTCACAGTAAAATTTTTATGTCATTATGTTTTGACTTAGACATGATTGTATTATTTGTTGGGATATAATGTGATTTATTGTCATAAAATAATTTGAGTGATCTTTTTACTTTCTTTAAAGTACACAATCAAGTGATAAATTTTGTAATAAAATTTTATGAGTCATAATATGTTACAAACTCTATTGTCATAGTAAAAAAACTACAAGTGTTTGTTTGACAATTTTTCAAGATATATTTCCTCCCGTTAACATATAAATATAGTATGATGTAGATTTTTTTCATAGTAGTCTTGGTCGATTGTGATATCTCCTCGGTGACCAAGACCCTTTCCATCTGTATAGGGTTTTTTTTAGCTCTCCTAACTTCAAAACGCTTAAAAGAATTAATGATGATGACTCGTATTCTTCAACTGATGGCAACGACTCGTTTTCCTATTTTTCTGTTGTTTTTTGAGGAATTTTTAAAGCCTGCTTAGGGCTAAAGCCCACTTTTCTTGAGTGGAATCCTTTTATTTTAGGTTTATGCTATTTTTATCATGCATGCATCTTACGTTAACTAAAAAACGAAAAAAAATGCAGGTGTGGACATCATCACCTACCGTCCCCGAAAGAACATTTTGTTTTTATGCTTAAAGAAAGCCATTCAGCACAGGGCTTTTTCATCTTCTTTTTTGAGGATGAAAAGATGTTTATAGCCTCAAAAGTAGACTTTATTTATGGGTTTTTTGTACTATATGAATGTCTATATATATATATTAGGACTGGTTCTGAAATTGAGAAAACCCTTCGGGAAACAAATGGTCCAGTAGCTGCATGCCTATGTTTTTTATGGAATTATTGAGGGTTAGTGTAGTAAAGCTACCGTGCCAGGAGGTATTCTGTGTTTTTGGATTTATGTAATTTTTATAATAAATTTCTATTTGTATAATTATTTTAAAATTCAAATATAGATGCTAGGGGAAATTTATTTTTTCCCCAGACATGTTGGTACGCCTGCTGTTCATTGTTTTAAACTACTGTTGCAATGACGAATTATGTCCGTTTTAAATATGAATATACTTTGTATATAGTTGAAATATATGTGATTATTTGGATAAGAAAAATCTCAAATATATTTTTTTTAAAAAAAGTAAGAAAATATACTCATGAAGAACTAGTTTGAGTTAGATGGTTCATAAATGTGTACATGTAAGAAGAGTGCATCTAAACACGTGCAAGCTGACAAAGCCTTACCTGATTTACCAGCACCGTGACAGTCAATATGTCAACGGGACCAGTTCTGATTGCCAAACCAAAAAGTGGGTACATGTATTATAAGACAAGCTACATGAATGATCCATTACATAACATTGTTTTATTGAATTCTTTTATAATTAAAAGTTATTAAATAATTTCTCGATTATAGCACATTATTTTATTAAGTTATATGATTATTAAAAGTTATAAAATGATCACTGAATTATTCATATATTTCATATTTGTTATTTTCTATCAAATAATTTGTGGTTGTCTATGTTGGACGTTAACTTGCTTACTGATATATGATAAAATATGATCTCATAATTGTTTGACATATATTTTGTGGATCGATTCTCCATTTACATTATGTCGCAGAATCAGTACTTGAAACATTATGTTGTCGAATCAATGTTTGAAAGTAACTGTGGT